GAGGGGGGGAGGGAGGAGAGAGGGGGAGGGGGGAGGGGAGGAGAGAGGAGGAGAGAGAGAGAGAGAGAGAGTGAGAGAGTGAGAGAGTTATCGGGATGGCGAACGAGACGAGAGAGAAGATGACTATAAATTAGCCAACGATGAGACGAGTTATAATGTGACGAGTTACGAAAAGATAGAACGAGAAGCGTATTTGATAAAAGAAACGAATTGTGGGAAGGGTGGGATGGGTGGGGGGATATAAGCAGCGAGACACGGGGTCATTAAATCGTGATATTGAACAAGATATCTTGTGATATGGAATTTAGATGTACTGGGGTTCACGTTGATGAACATAGATAAATATAGATATATATATATACATATATATATATATATAAAATGCGTCTATATATTATATATTATAATACGTTGTAACGCTGATTCAGAGAGGAAACAAAAAAGGCAAAAATATCGCTACGATTATTAAAGAAATACGCGCGTAGTGAGAAGTAGTCAGCTAAAAGAAAATAAAATGAAACGCGTTACAAGGAGTGAGAATGAACAAAAAGAAAAAGGGAAAAAACGGTTTCGTGGAACGTTGCACGATTATTATATGTGTACGTATGTAACGATATCTTTCAAGATTCCTTTTTTCCTTTTTATTTCTAATTTCTTTTGCGATTACGAATCTTCGTTAGCCCCCTCCTTTTTTTTTTGCTTTTTTTATTTCCTTCTTTTCGTAGAACGTACCGTTTCCGATTAATTTTGTCCGAGAGAGAACGTCCACTCGTCTTTTCTTCTCTCCTGTCTTTTTTTTCTTCTTTCTCTTTTTTTTTATCCTTTTTTCTTTCGTAACGCGTGTACAGCATGTAAAGGCTCGTTCATTCGCCGGTCGAGGAACGCGGAGGAAACACAAGCATCCGCCAATCGATCTTTCGTGGCCGCGTCGGATTTTAGTTTCACCTGGATTTTTCGCGTTACGTTAGCGAGCAACGTATCCGCGCGTGATCCAACGATCGATCGTTAATACCACTGCCAATACCTTCCTACGTAAGTTCGGGCTCTCGTTTTCTCGTAGATACACGGAAAAGTGATCGCATGTATTATTTACGATCCTAGTCTCTTGCAGTGAAAATTTCAATAGCGTGTCCTCGTCGACGTCGTCGTCGTCGTCGTCGTCGTCGTGTTCGCACAAGGATTATCGTAATGAACGCGCTGGGCATGCTTATGGGCCGTGTGTGTCATTGTTATAAATAATAGGTAGCATTTTCACACTTGTTCGTATAAGAAAAAAGTTCGTATAAAAAAAAAAGAAAAGATAAGAAAAAGACAACTGTATAGACGCAGGTGAAACGTTTACCATTTGCTCGAGTTTTGTTTTATAATATTAACCAGAGATGTAGGTCGCTCGAGTTATTACCTACGATTTAATTTAATCGATCACTCACTGTGCTTTACTGTGATCAAAACGTTGTCCATATTCGTTATCGGTGCAAACTTCGGCTCAAACTAATCATGTGTATACATTACATTATTGACTGATCTCGAAGAAGATTGCGCAGAGAAATTCGTTGAACATCCTGCTTCTCTTCTTCTTTTTTTTTTTTCTTATTTTTATTTCGTTTTGGAAAGAAAGAGAGAGATATACCTATATAGATATACGATAGCTATAAGCGATTAGGTCTCTCTAGGTTCTTCTTCGTACGTTGTTTTCTCTTCTTCTTTCCTGTATTTTTTCCCCTCCTCTTCTTCTTTTTTTCCTTTTCTTTCTTGTTTTAATTGCTTTCTTACTACTCATGCAACGCGTCCCGACGCCAATGAGTTTTAAGCGATCGCTTTAGGCTTATAACGTATACACGGCCGGGATATAAGCGCGGACCGTTCCAAGGTCGAGGCTTTAACTCAAGGCAAACGAGGGTGTGTTCCGATTGTCTGGAAGGCGTGCTCGAAGATTCCTCTTCTGGTGAAAAAAACCCGCGGAGGAAAAAAAGAACCAGATACGGACGATACGTTTTCGTTGCTCGCGCGCTTCGCTCGTACTTTGTATTTCCTTTTACATTGCTTCGTTGAATTCTCGTGTTCGATGCAAAACGACGAAACGAAAAATCAACGCTACCGATCTGCCTTGACCTTCCATAACCGAATTTTTCTTTCGAGAAAAACGATGCAGTTAATTACAGTTTTCCGTTCTTACCGGAACGAACTAAGAATCGTCCACTGTCGTAAATGAATCGTTCGACAAAATATCGATATCGCAAGCATAGAAAGAAACACGTAGCGAGGTGAGAACGATACGAGATAATTGTTGAAACGTATAAACGAATAAACGTACGAAGAATGGTCTCTCGTAAAGAGTGAACTTGGAAATTAATTATCATTTTATCTATTTATTACTGCGACGTTATATCGGCTTGCCCGGAAGACTCGTCCCGATTTTTAAGGAATTTTTTCGCCGAGAAACCTAAGAGGCTTCAAAAGAACGACATATTCGAGTTGCGCGATAGACAGAGAAAATCCATGGAAGAAAATGGTATTTGTATAGTGTGATAAATATATATCGAATGGAAATGTAAAATCGGAACGAGCTTCGCGGACGGCTCGATATTTCACCGATATATCGCGCCAACGTTAAACGATTTATTTATAACAGTAACGTAACTTACAAAATTACCTATCGATATTTTTATTTTAACTACCGACTTCTGCGATATCACGCTTCGTCGATACGTTACTAAACCCGTGCCGAGCCGCGGGTTAGCGTATTTCATTTATAAAATAATCGTTCCTAAAATGCTAAGTTAAAATTCAAATCTGCGATTAGCTTCGATCTCTTCTTCTCGTACGTAATTCAAATTCTGGCTATAGAGGGTTAAGGATACTCTGCCTGTAAACACGGAACAATACGTACCTATAGCAGCGATATCTCTCAAAAAAATCCGAAACGAGACAGCCTTTTAAAGGACAATGAAACGCGATTCTTCGCGAATCAAGCGTTATTTGATATCGATGTATCGTATGTATAGGCGGTCGTCGGTGTGCTCGATAGCCGGACGATGAATTTCCTAAAAGGAGCCCGGCGAACATCAAAGCTGCCTATTAAAAATAAACGCTGTCACGGATTTTCACGATATTCACCTGGCGGAAATGCATATTAAAGCTTAACAACCGGCCACCCCGTACCCCGTGTACCTATGTATCGTGTCCTGGTATGCATGCATCTCTTCGGCTTGTACGAACACGAAAATATAGGACGCTGGGCGTTTCAACGCGACAAAAGAGCCAACCAGGGAAAAACCGTTCGATCGGACGAAAACGGAACACGGAAGGGTCGATGAATTTTTGCACGTTGGACCCGATAGCGTTCGCACCGCGCGTTTCCGTCTCTTTGGGACCGAATGATTTAACTCGCGGCGAGAGCAACGAAAGTCGAGGAGAGACACCGCGACTAAAGCGTAAAGCCGAAGTTGCTTAGAAACGACTTGGTAGTAGGATACACTTTGCGAGAAACGTACTTTGGCGAATCGCAGCGAAGCGGAGTAGACGACGAAGATAGAGAAAGTTTGGAAACATAGATCGAGGAGAAGACTTTCTCTTCGTATGGAAAATCGAAACGACGAGATCGAAAAGGAAAGCAATCGATCGTTGAAGAACGAAGAACCTTGTTTACCCCGGTTTACTCGAATCGTTGTATCCGTTTGACTCTGCTATAGTCTTCGAGTGGGTTACGTTCTGATGTCAGTCCCGTTTCAACAAGCAGAAGAAGCTTTGGCAAGTTTGGGAGAAACTCTAGTATCGAATTGAAACGAGAAATCCGGCATATCGACGATGATCCTTGGTGAAATTTAAGAAATCTCTCAACGATAGCGGAGAAGCAGAAATTCAGAAACATCGAGTCCGAAGAATGTAGCAGGGTCGAAAGAACGTCGAAAAGGTGTTGTTCGACCGAATAGGTTAGTAACACCGTGTTAAGTGCTTTTATTATGCGTCTGCGTCGCGACGCGTATGTAATTAGCATATTATGGTACAACCTCTATGCACGGTGGATAATATGTACATACGCGCGCGCGCGCATACACACTCACACGCGCGTACGTACACACGTACATACAATGTATGATACATAGGACAGTGTGTTGTACAACGGTATATTTTAATATTCATATTGGAAGAAAGTCGTTCGATAGAGAAAACACGATCGAAACAACGACACGAACGTTATCGGTCGCCAATCTCTGTACAAATCGAAAATTATTGATCTCTAGTCTGTCTGAGCGTTTGTCTCTGAATTATTCAAAAACGAAGGCGAATATCTCGTGAATCGTTAATCGAGAACGTTATCGAATAGAGGATGAAACAAAGTTTCATCGAGGAAAAATAAACCGATGCTTATACATTGTACCGTTCGATTTTCCGATTTTAACAGAAGGGCCTGTAAGAACGTGAAAGAAAACCATAAGCTATAGAGGGGAAAAGGGAAAGAAGGGAGGAAACGCACGATAAGAAATCTTGCCAAGATTATTATAATTGAAAAATACGAGCGAAGAACACGATAAGTCACGTTTTCCACCTTAATGTATTCTTCCATCGAAGATTATTTCTTGACGTAACGTCGAAACATCGGAAGAACATCGAGGATATTGAAATATCGTTTGTTTCGACGATTATAACTTTTGGCTGAACGTGACAGATTCTTTTCGTTAAATTTTATACTAAAATATTCCTTTCCAATCGACTTATCGTGTCACATACTTATCGTGTTTCTTTTTCTGTGATTTCTAATTACATACTGCCATAGTATTTCTTTCTAAAATTTGTATATAATTCTATCGATTTTAATTCGGTAAATTCGATCAAAATACGTATACGTTTTAATATACGTATAATAATTTAATAATTTATATATTAACGCATAAGAATATCTCAAGTCGGTGGTCACGCACCGATACTTCGATATTTGTGCAAAATTCTTTTCATCGTCGAGCAAAAATCATGGCAGTTAGTTTGTTAATTAATACGTACATATCTGCGTACATTCGTATGTTATAAAGGTTTACGCGCGCGGTAATTAGGGGATTGGCGAATTAATCTCCGGGGACGTGGATTTATCGAATTGATCAGCGCGGCGTGGTGGCTTCAAGTTCGTTGAACGCCGGCTGCCTCGTTCCGTGACCTTACCTCTTTCCGATCTCGCCATTCCGGTGAATCTCCGTGCTGCCTCCTCTCTTTTTCCTCTCTTTTTCCTCTCTTTTTCCTCTCTTTCTCCCTTTCGCTTGGCCAGTCGTCATCGTTCGAAAAGTGAAACACGATTGGAATCTCGATCCGTTTTACTCCGCTTCTAACGCGCGTTCCCGCCGCTATAATCGAACATCTCCAACGCGAACGTCATCGTTCATCGTCGTCGTCATCGTCGTCGTCGTCGTCGTCGTGTTCTTCGAGCGCAATGCCGATTCCGTGATTCGTATAAAACGAATCGATCGTAGCGGCGAAACTACGCTCGTCAGGTGAAAATTCGTGTTGTTTAGCGACGAACCTTGACGCAACACGCCCAACAGCGTTTACAAAGGGCTCGAGCTACAAGAAGTAATAAAGTAATCGTTAAGCGAATAGTGGTAATCGATTATAAGCTGTAATACTAGGTAAGGAACGAGTGGAACGGGAGACTAACGTTAATCGAATCGAAGTTGCACGAAGACGAGAAACGAAAGCGTGAAAGAAGAGAAGGAAAGGAGGAAGGAAGAAGTAGCAGGAAATAAGCGAAAGGAAAGAAAGAAAAAAAAACGAAAAAGTCCGGTAGATCGTAGATAGTTCCGCTGATATTCTATTCCTTTGTGTCTTCTTTTTTATTTGTCCTTATCTTCTTTTTTTTATTTTCTTTTTTTTTTTTCTTTTTTACCTAGCGACGAGAACGATGTGTTCCGATGTATATTTATTTTAACTCGCGTCTCTCTTCCGGAGGGAACGACCAATTGATCGTGCGCCGTAGCGTATCACGACTTTTATTTCGTGTCCAACGAAGCGTGCATTTTTATTCGCTGTGAAACACTGCCTCTCGCCGCCACTGTGTGTTTTATTGGCCGAACAAGCATCGCGCAGATCGATTGATTTTCACGGGTCGGTCGAACGCGACTTGAAGATCCGTCGTGAAAATAAAAATGAGAAAGGAAAGAAGGAGAGAAAGAGGCGGAGGAGAAAAGAAAAAAGAAAGAGAGAGAGAGAGAGAGAGAGAGAAACGAGAATCCTGGCGGCTTTCCCAACGGACCGTATCGCCGCGTGTTTGCCGCGGTCGAACTAATCCGTTTGCGAAAAAGCTTTCCGGCCTCGTAAACAAACCGTTTTCATATGAGATATACGATAGCGACTGGAACCGTAGAATTTTAACAACACGCAACTGATTTTTTAATCTCTGCATGCGCATCGATCAAATCGATATCGGACACGTATCTTACTTCTTTGCTCTGTATCCTCTCTCTCTCTCTCTCTTTCTGTTTTTTAATTTTTTTATTTTCTATGAAAAAACTCGTTGTACACAGAATCGACGAATGCGCAAAACGATCGTGTCGATCGGCTCGATAAAACGCACAGTACGCGCGAAGGTAAGATCGATAGTCGTACAAACAAGATTTCTGTGTCTGAAGAAAGAAAGAAGAAATAGAAGAAAAGTATGAGAGAATAGTAGAGCAACGAGCGAAAATAAGTATGCTGCCGATAGAATTTCGTAGAGTCATCGTAAAAGACACTTTAGAAGACGTTTGTACGATGAAAATGAAAAATACTCTGTACAAAATATATATGTTATATATATATACATATATAAATATATATATGCGCGTATATATATATTACATACACACGCATATGCATAAATATCCTCCCTCGATTTAACGATGTTCTTTTTCGCACGCGTACGTTTCTGCACGCAACTCTTTTATCCTTGTATCCGCGGATCGTTTTCTGAAAGTGGTACCATTCGTTCCACGATAATATGTATTTTGTATTATCGTTCGTTTTTAGTCAACTTACTACCCGCTTTAAGGCCTTTTCTATATTTTTTAGTCGCAGAACGCTCGCCGTTAAACGCGCGAGCGAGAGCGAGCGAGATTATTTCGTTCGATCATGTGCCGCTGCAACGGAGAGAAAGAATTATGGAAAAAGTAATGAATGAGAGAGAGAGAGAGAGAGAGAGAGTATGCGAGTATGTGCGTGTATTATGAGTGTGTGCGCATGAGGAGAGAAAGAAAGGAGAATAATAACGTCTTTCACGCGTAAAGATATTTTAGCCTGTCATCGTTCGCGCATCAATTGTACCATACAACAAAACAAATCCCTCGATTCGTGCGTTTTCATCATTGCGTTTACACTTAATTTTAATTGAATCGACCTCTAACGATATCTATGATCGTCTTGTATTTGATTGTGTACCTCGATTTGTATATATATACATATATAAAGAAAGATAAAAAAAAAAAGATAAAAAAAAGGTGAAAATAAGAAACGAATCGTCCCTCATTGAATGGCGGACGATCTTAAAACGAAAAGTGACTGACTTTAGTACCTCTACGATATTACACCCTTTACTTATCGTCATTGCGATCTTCTACTTTCTTTGTTTTTTGTTTTTCTTTTCTTTTTTTTTTTTTTTTCATGAACGGATCGTCGTTCTCATTTCGTGGATTAGTTGCAGCGGCAGCTTGATAATAACCATCCCCATCGAGCTACTGCACGCTTCCGATAAGTCCTGTCTCGAGAGAGTATGCGTATGAACCGTCTTTTGTTCGTTAATTTGTTCTCTCCACCCTGTGCTTCGCTCTACCACAGATAAATTAGACTGCGGATTCTTATACAATTTCACGTATTTACGAATACACCCGAAGAAATGGAATCTAAATAGCAATTCGTTTCACTCGTTAAATATCGTAGCTGGTATTCCGCTTTGCAGACTTTACACGGTTTCGTGCTTTGTACGCATTCTACGCATCCTTCGGTACCTTCGGATTTCACCTTCGAAGTTCACCTTCGTATAGAAAATAAACGCATAATAATCCGCAGCCTACGCGCGATTAAGAACGTTAAGTTTCGTAGGGTAAAAAAACCTGATTTCTTAAGCGGCAATGCAAAACCTTTGATCTCTGACACGCGCGCGTACGACGTTATAATAGATACGCATTTGGTGCGCGCGCGTACACGTACGTGTAGATAAAAATACGTTAAATTAGTAAACGAAACGCGGAGAATCATGTTCGTTTGTTGCGTCCAGCATCTTCTTTTTTTTTTTGTTTCTTTTTGTTTTTGATTTTTGACCCCTTTTTCTTCGCGCTCGCCTGTTCCTCGAGTACGAACGAACAGGGGATGGAACCAACCCGTCGTTGTACATCCTCTCGTCAGGAGAACGCAACTTACGCATATAGAATATACATGAATGGTACGATTCGAGCGTTTACGATGATTAGACGTGTAAATGGTGTAGACGCGGTGATAAACACGTGGGATAGTTATTATAAAACGTCTTGTCGCCACATTTGTCGGGAAACCCCTGGAAACCTCCGATACACAAGCGTACTTGTAACGCGTTCTCGCCAAGAGTCACGAGAACGAGAAACTGATTTTTTAAAGAACTGCTCTGACTTGATTAATAAGAAACGAAATAAACGCTGCTTGAGACAGTTAACATCGGCTATTGTGACCTTTTTTCTGGATTTTTTACTTGTGTACTTTCCGATGGTAGAGACAAGAGTAGAATCCATACAAATGTCGTACAGTTTCTCACGAAAGTATTTGAACGCTCGTAGAAGCTTTTGCGAATATACTGGTCTACCTGCAACGAGAATATCATGATCATATTGCTTTGACGAACCAAATCTGAAATAAATGTGTATGTATAGAGGCCGCAAGATACACTCGTCATCAGTGCAAAGATATATTTCACAGAGATGGCAAAAGTATGTGAACAATGAATTGTCAGTTACATCGAGAAACTTGAATATTCAATGGTAACGTCTTCGGCACTTATTTCGTATTCGAGACAACTATTCATGCCGTGCATTAATTTCTCGTCAAGTTAATGCTCGCGGCGAATGCGTTAGAATGTCTATGCTTGTAAATTGATTTCAAATTTTGCAGACATAATAGCATAATTATAAATAATGTGATAACGTTGGTGATTCGTTACAACGTCAACGAAGCTTCGAAATGTTGTATACAATGCGCATATACATGAAAACTTTTTATATATGCGTCCAAATGCTTTCGTGTTCCGAGGAGAAAGACGCGCCTCTCGTTTTCTTCTTCTTTTTTCTCCCGTTATTGTAACTCGTGCAGAATTTATGGATCTGCTTATTCGCACCGGAGGAAAGAATCAGTGAAGATGAGTTTTATGAAACGTTGCCTCACGGCACCGTTGAATGAATAAAAAAGAAAAAAGAAAAAAAAAGCGAAGAGACGAGACACAACGTCAAAGGTTCCGTAACATCCGAAGAGATAAACGTTGCGTCGGGCTTTTTGCCAAACTATTAAATCTTCGTTGTACGTCATTGACGCAAATTTCCGTCTGAAAATCAGAACCAGCCAGCGAGATCACGGTACTCCAAGGCTATCGTCGAACTCCGCCGTCGTTAGTCAAAGTTCCTGTCTACCATTTCGAAACATCTGACAAGACCGAAGTTTGATCGTTTTCTTTCTGCCATCTTTGTCTTTCTTCCTTCGATGAAAAATATTCCATCGTTATCCCATAACAGTGTATTTCGCTTGGACTACGAGAAAGAGGAGAAAAAATAAGAAGAAAGAAAAAATAGGAAGAAACTCGTATGAGAGACAAACAATTTGCTTGCTGGCTGAAAGCTCGTTGAAACCGACCCATACCTCTCGTGGTTGAATAGAGAAGAAGGAATCATTGAAAGACTCTCGAGTTCGAATAGCGTCAATGATTCCTTAGTGTTGATCGTTCTAGTCCTTATCCCCTTTTAGTTCCTTTCCGCTTCTGTACTCACGAAGATAGGCTTCTCTTCGATTCTTTCAGATCTAAACAACTGGATGATAATTATCGTGCCTGACGGAAACACAAGCTGCGTACTTAAACGTAAGCACCAACGATCGAATCTGATAACAGGTATGTTTATCGCCCTATTAAGTTTATTGAATTTAGGTCACTATCTCGTATCCCAGCTAAGCGTTTTTCTTTGACAAACGCAAAAGATTTTAACGAAGAACAGATTCAGAATCTCTTTCGTGCAAAAATGAGGCTCCCCAGGATTCGCATTCATCGTTACAATTTTTCAACAAAAAGTGGTCAATGTAATGAATAAAGCTAGATCGATACAAGGAACCTCGTTCAAACAAATCTAATTACGGTAGTGCCACATCGACTGATTAAAAGTCTGCTTCGTTAAGTGGTTATTTCGTTATCTCTATCAGTTCTTAATCCTGATCTTACGATGCGATGCCTTTTAATGTTCTGCGTGTAAAATAAATAAATGTATCGAGTATCTATGCGTCTCACATCTTGAGATTTGCTAGATTTATGGCTCCCCTGATAACTGATCGCATAATATCCCGAGTCACGATTAGTTAACGCAGCGTAATACATATGTAGCTAGTACATATGTGTACATATATGCATACTAATTCCAGGCTCGTTCCATCTTTACAAATATCCAAGTACCATTACTGACTACTTCAAATTACCATAATATGAAGTATATCATGAAGTATCCGTCAGAAATCTGAACAACAGATCTAGAGTTAATCAAATCCCTGCGTTAAGCCTCCACAAATTACCAATAATACTTTTCTTCTTATTTAAAGTTGCATTCCGCAAGCAGTTGCACTGTCAGAGTACTACCTTTTCATAGCGTACGTGTTATCCTCGTTTTTTTTTTCTGAAAGCTATTTTAAAGGAAACATTTTAAAGACTGTTTGCAACTAGTGTAGTTTTTTCATGCCACTCGTCGAGATACTCGCGTACCCTGACCTCCGATAATTGATACCAATCATTTAACGGAAGAGTGGAAATTATAATACATACAGCGATGTCCTGTATAAGAACGTCGGTCAAAATTCAGAAATGCACGTTGCGAAACAGCGAGCTATCGAATTACGATCCGATTGTTCCGGTAGGAGGCAAGAGCTAATTAATCAGAATATCGACAAGCGTCTCGTTTTACTTAGCTGCTAGCAATTTCTGCTAAGCGAGTCGTTAATCATTGACACTCAACATAGGTCGACATCGATTTTTCCCCGCGTCTAAGTATGTCACACTCAGAAAGTGTATTTTTATCATGATCAGAGCGTTTCGATTTAGAGCAAAGCCGGAGATCAGGAACGAGCGTGTCCGCGTTGTTTTGGTACGAGATTTGCTGGACGCGGGAAAATTGACTGGGAATCTGGAACAGATATAGAATCGCAGTTATATGACATTGAATGCTTTTCCGGGTTACATTTATTTTTAATCTCACATGATGTACAGTTTACAATAGTGACGTCAAACAGGCTTCTTATACTTCCATTGATTACCTTCTCGTTTTGCTCGAACCCAGTAATAATTCTCTTGCTACTCGTAATTTTTCTACAGAAATTTCTTATCTTTATCGTGTTCGATGCTTCGTTCGACTAGTACTCATTTATGGTAGATTTCGTTAAATGATTTTGCAGTATGTGCATTGAGGTTATTACGAGGATGCATCATTTTATCGGTTTCAGAAAATATTTGTTTGCGTTTCTTTTAGGTGTATGCGCAGAAATATTGTTCATTAGTAGAACGATATGTGTAGACATTGTTCGTGACATACACAAACACTATCAACTTATATTCGCTGTTTTATGTCTCACTATGTACCTAACCAATTAATACGAATTCGATAATACGAAACGCAAATTAATAACGTTGTTTAAGAATTAGCTAAATTATTAAATGAAATAAAATGTTGATACAAGATCATTTTTTCTCTCAAACCTTTTATATGTTACACAGCGAATTACTGTTGTTGAAATAACGATCCCGCGAAATGCGTCCGGTGCTCGCCGGAGAATAAACCGGTCTTTAAGACGCGAAAGAGAAGATCGAACCTGTGTCACTGTTCCTATCTCGATACCGACCACTTATTTTCGGTCCGGCCAAATTCAATGGCAAAAGATAGTGGCTGATTGCCAGTCTCGCTGCTGTAGCACGTTGTCTTTTCGAAAGCCTCCTTGGGAATCGCGTATCGTATACGAGACAATGGATGAAACTGAAATTAGATGTATCTCACTATTTGCAAAACACTTACTAGCTCCCATTTTATAGTTATTTAGTACCCAGCTATTTACAGCTATTTGACAACATTTTGTATGTTAAACGTTGTTACTCCTCTTTGTTTCTTTATCTGTAAGTACTGAAGCTTCCTAGTTAGAGAAAGATTATGAGATTAAGATTTAAAACCAATGTTCTAAATTTAAAAAATTGTATGATCTATATGATTAAATATATGTCTATCTGATATTAAAATCTAAGAAATATATATAAAGTTTAAAATTGCAACAAAATGGATAATATGTACCGACATTTCAAAGTGATAATAAAGTCGTGTACAAGGTGGCGCGCAAATCAGGAATTGCGTCGTGTTACTGAATACAGTATAGCGATCCGATAATTGGCCACGAATAGAGTTTTCATTTGGCCAATTATAGAAAAAGGTATATTTCTAGGAAATCTTAAATGTTTCTCTCCTCCATTAAGCATGAGTGAGATGCGGAAATTTTACGTATTTGTATACGTACATAACATTAGAATTTCAGTTCACGTAGCTTCAAGAACTGGTGGGGATAGCAATGGCCACTTAAAGGAGCAAAATTCCGGTCAGTTAACCCGGCAGTACTATATTCTATGTGCAGGCACTTTTCAGCGAGGATGGTAACGCTATTATAGTGTATGTTACAGGTTTGTATAGTACGTGTCACTAATTTTAAGCTCTCATAGTCTCAAATATTCACTATTTAAATAAAATGCAAAATATGGAGCGTGATCAGTTTATGTTAAGAGAAAAGTAAAAATAACATAAATATTTTATACAACTTTATTAGTTAAATTATTGAAATTTTGGTAAACAACAAATTTAAAAAGGCGCCATAATGTTTTAGCGCCTCCAGCCGTTACAAGTAGGAATGTTTGCTTTCATTGACATTTAATTTCTATATAAAATTTACTCAAAAGTTAAGTGAAAAGTATATTTTTAAAATTTTATAGTTGTTAAGAAAAGGATTCTGCATGTTACAAAGTGAATTCTTATTTATTTTTAATGTATATACATTTGTAAAGTGTACTACGTTTGACTACAATTCAACATTTGACTACCTGATTAATATAAATGCTAGTACAGCAGTCAAATAGATTTACACAAATTGGTGCAAAAGAATAGTAATGCGTAATTAAGACTCGTTTGACATGTATATTTATAATTTTAGTATACATGATGTACTGCTGAAGCAAATACTGAATTTTAAAAAGAAAAACGTACGCAATGTTAAAAATATTAAAGGAATATAAAGTGACTTTTTTTCTGTTCCTTCCTATTTCTTTCTTATTTGCAATCGATGGAAGTGCAATATTGAAAGAATTAGGAGAAAAACAGTACCAAATGATTAAAGGTATATATTATTTAATCCTATACATAAAAACACATTTTTATCTTATAATTGATTATATAAATTATGTTATTATTGGTATTATATATAGCAAAATCTTCCTTATCGCAACATGGGATTTGTTGGCAGACTGTTATCAATGCAATAAAAGTTAGTTGTGATAAATTAAACGATCAAGAGCATGCTCTTATTGCTTTAAAATTGACAAATTGTTTTTTAGACGACTCTGGACATAAAACTTATGATTGTCATCTTATTGATGCAGAAAATCAACGCCGGTAAATTTATTATACTTTTTAATATATATACATTGACTTTATTACATTTATTTAATAATTCATTGGTTTTACAGTAAGTGCATTAATAATATGTCAGATAGGGCATTTAGCGTGTATAATGAATTTTATGTGCACACTACACACATGTGTTTTTATTTAAATTATGAAGCTTGGCGAGCTGAAACTGACAATACCATTAAACAGTAAGTTCTCTTATGTTTAACCACTGATATGTTTTGGAAAAATTATATTATTTTCTTTTATTATAGATTATACCAAGTTTCCACTCGGATGAGGGAACAATTGTTAGAAGCTTCGGAAATACAAGGAAACATGCTTGAAAGTCAAAAGCAGAGTCTACAAATGCAAAACAAGCTTTTATCTCATGGAAAAGAACTTGGTTCTGTATTAAAGTCTTCTTCTGAAAGTGTTAACAACCTGGTTAGAGATTTTAAGTAAGTACATCAAAGTTTTTTACATGTAGTAAATAAAATTTCTATCGATGATAGTCCAAAATTACTAATTATAGAGAATCGGCGAAAGATCAAAGAGAATTATTGTTCCAAATCTTTTCATATGTTCGCACATTTCAAAATTGGATTGTTGGAGAAGTCTCTTGGTTTCAGTCCATTATATATTACACAATCAGTTGTGTTTTGTCTGCAGTGTTTAGTTCTTCTAAGAGAACTGCGGATGCTAGAATCACTCTCTTCACAATCCTAAGTTTAAACGTTGTTGTAGAACGAATGTTAGTTCAATATTATGATAATGTGTATCATTCCATTGACAATAAGGTAATATAGATTTGGATTTATGAAAGTATTATTAATATTTTTTTTTTTTATACTACTAAACAGTAAACATAAAGAAATTAATTTTTGTTTTTTAATTTAGGACAGCTTAGTGAGTACAACATGGATGTATAGAAAAATAGCTCTCACTCTTTGTGCTATTACATTAATTTGTACATATTATTATTACAGAGATGAACAAGTAGAAAATTATAAAGCGTTAAAACGCATTGAACATCAGTTAAGTACGATACAAGAAACTACATCTATTTCGACAAAACATCCAGTCCGTACGTATTCTGATCTTCTGCTATAATATAAATTGAATACAGTTGATTAAAATCATTTTGCTTTTATCCATATATAGGTTATTGTACACGATTAAGTGTCAAACGTTTGCAAGCACAGGCAAATAGACAGACTAGTACAGAAGCTCTTTTGTAGTATAAATCAAATTAATTATTGCTTATTTTTATTATATATTAATTATTATAAATATAAATTAATTAATATATATTTACTAATATATTAATATATAATATCCATTATAATAGCAAAAACATGAATTTCATACAGGTGACAATAAAAGTATTTTTTATATAATACTCTAACATTTTATTTAAAATCATTAAACAGTTGGATACATACGTAAAAGGTATGTAACCTGTTTACTTGTAAGATTTTTAGCATTAGGAGCAGGAATTTCAATTTTTTGTAGTTCCTTGTGTGTAGCAGCATTTGTCATATATTTGTTATAACATCCATACAACTTTTTAATTTCTTTGTTACACATGCCATTTTCAAAATCATTTTCTTTCCAACATCCAAATAGTAATGTCATTTCATATAAACATTTATCCTCTAAAATACGTAAGAGCATTATTTATAATAGTGCTATAAAAAGATTTCATTATACTATGAAATATAATATTTACCAAGAGTTCTTATTGTGCCCCCACAAACTCTATTTCTTAATTTTAAAGGCATCACTTCGCTAAACGGCACTTTATTTACATCTTGAGCCGCTCTTGGACTACGTTTCAAATATATTGAGCTTAGTTTCATTTTCTAGAAATGAAAAATTATTAAATGATTATAAATATGAGGTTAAGAAATGTAAGGTTGAACTTTTTATAGAATTCACTAATTATTATTAATATCAACCGATACAGTATCATAACATTTAAAAAATCCTCTAAAAACACATTTTTAAGTAATTATTTCATTCAGTTAACAATATACCTTTGATATCACAATTTATTTAGAAGGAAAACGTTTCGTAACAGATGGCGCCTACCACTATCAAGGATTAACGAATCAACTCAATTCATAATAACTCATTGATTGCTAATAGTAGCACCATAATTTATATTCATATTTACATTATACGAAATTTCAATTTGTATATAGTTATTATAAATTAACTTCAAAATAACATTGTACAGGATGTATTTTTTTTACTAAAATTTACTACGTTATACAATCTCTCCAATGAGACGAAGGAGCAAGTGTAAATAAAATTTGATTGCTGCGATTGCAACTATCGATTACCGATTAGTGAAAGTTGAGTGTCAGATTTTGTTTACGTTTACTGCCTCGTCCTGTTGGACAGATCACAATCATATTAATACGTCTCGATACCGAAGCCTAGGGAAAATCGTCTGAAAATTGAGTCGTGACTAACTGTGAAAGATAAACATGGAAGACAGGAAGGTTGTCGTTCTGCGCATGCTTGACATGCTGTGAATATCTCAGACAGAGACAGAGATACTGTACTCATCTCTGTCTCTCTCGTAAGAATGTAGACTTTGTCAATCTTTTATGTTGATTTTTCAAGAGTAGATACGGCTCAATTTTCAGATGGTTTTCCCTAGCAAGTATCGAGACCTGTTTATATGATTGTGGGACAGATTATATATTATTGTTAGTATATATATATACATCATAAAAAATAATATTCAAAGATCTTAATAATACTTAACAGTTAAGAAATAAAATGTTTATTTCTATTCCTTAAATGTTTGATATAAGAAGGCGTAAACTTCATATACAGAATAAGAGAAAGGAAGAAGAGCACGAGATTGGCCCAAAATAAGGGTGGCGGGGTACTGCAAGAAATAAGTTTACGAACAGAATTTTCAAATGCCAGTTGATCAGTTCATGCGTGAATCACCGCATTATGTTTTTCAGCGTAACCTTAATTTCGTGAATCTTTTATAATCACCTCGAAATACATCAAATAATTCCTGTAATACGCAACAGAATACTTGTGAAGTTGTACTTTCTATTATTTTACATTCTTTATATTTTCTTGTGTTTACAATGGAAAAAGTAAGAAGTAAGTTTTTCACTCATTTATATACTCATTTATATATTGTAAATTATCCACCTCTCCTTTATGTGTATATATGTTCGAAAATAATAATACTAAACAAATAATAATACTAAATTCATTTCTAAAGTTTTATTATATTGGTAATATTTCTAGTACAATTTTTATGAAATCGTTGAAGTTACTATTTTTTTGGGTAGTATATTTATATTGCAGGATCATACGATTAGATTTTTCTTCTTATAGCACGTTCTCATAAAAGATAATTAGAAAAAGATATTAACATTATGTTTATCTTGATATATTTACCAGCAAACCTTTAGTACATATGTATGTCTTAAACAGCATATTGTTGATTTTACTGTTTTATATGTCTTATATTATTATCGTTAAACATGCGTTATTGCAACAAATATTTAAAAATAAACTGCATCCTTTATGCGTGTAACATTCTATATTCCTGCAAGTCATTGTAAATGGATTGAAAAGTACGTCTACGACATCAATTTGACATTGAAAATTGTTGCATCAAATGGTACGGCCTATTATGAATATACGAATATACATTTTGAGTTATCTAATGTATTTATGTATCATATATTTATGAAACTGAATTGCAAATATAAAAATGTATCATAAACTTCACTAAAACATTAAAAATTGATTTCCAGAAATTTATTCGATATATTATTAGAAAGATTGATTCGCGGATAAGTGTCTGAAGATTTAAAAGAAATTAAATTACTTGAAGCAATGAGACTGCGTATATGGATCGCGCGACTTTTGTGTTACGTCACGCGTTACTGTTGATAAATGCGTGAAAAAACTTATCAGGCTATGCGCACTTAGATTAACATAGATGTGGAGTATTCTTTACGCAAAGAATATCGAATAGTGAATTCCATAACAACTTCATATCTTTAGAAAACTTTTAAATAAAAATCCGGAATGTTATTGTTTAACATTTTTCGTAACTTATCTGTGAATTTTCGCGAAGATTATAGTAGGACAACAAATCGTGATTTTCCTAACCTACAAGTAAATTACGCTACCATAAAATCGATCGCTATTTTATGCAATGATAATAAAAAAAGGTGAAGAAAGATACTAGTACAAATAAATAAAATTTTTTTGTAATGTTTACGTAATTAAACGATATTTATATAGAAATTATAAATTTCAGAACAATAAATTTAAATTAAAATTCCACGATAACGTACTATATATTATTCTTATACTTCGGTATAAGATCATAGTGTAATTTTGGTTTTTATTTCTTAGTCATGCTTTTTTTTTTAGTCCGGATATTATGCGTTTCATTCACTACAATAGTACTTTTCTTATACAATATTTATATGCACCAAAGATACATAAACACGTTCAGTTTCTAGTAAATTAACATAAAATGTTAATTAAAATCTTTGTATTCACAGCAATGAGAACGTCAGACTACCTTATCTATCTCACGGTGTATTAATCGAAGATTAAGTTTATGTCGTTGTTTTGATTTGTTTAGCATATTATTAACGTGTGTAAAGCTTGGTTATGAAAATGGTACTAGGATATATATCTTGTTTAACAAATCTATATATGAATACTATCAGAATTTCTGACATTATCCAAGAGCAAACGTCAACCAACTCACATAGGATATGACTGTGACTCACTTTTTGTTGCAAAGTCATTGGCTCTTACGAGATTCACACGTAGCCATTTTATGTGTTCATATGCATGTATAGCACATACATACACGCTTTCACAGTAAATTGATGTCATGGAAGGTGTGTTGATCGTGACATAACTTTATTGACGTAAATAATTTTTTTATATAAGTTTACCTGAAAAACGAACTAAATAACAAAAAAATATAGAAATGATCAAAGATGTATGTACTCAAGTTACTACATAAGAATTACACCTGATAATGCATAAAGTCGTATTGTAATAATGATCAACATAACATGCCAATAGTTACTATTTATTATTAATGTGTATTACTGATAAAAAGTACCTTGACATTCAATAACGAATAGTTAGTTCGATATTGAATAATTAATTTTAGCTATTACTTTTTACATTATCATGTCCTTGATTTCTACTCGTAGTCTCTACTACGCACCGTCGCAGGTAATATCAGGTACTCTCAGGTCTCTTAAATAGCAAAACTTAATTAAATAACAAGTTTTTTTAATTCAGTCCCTAACGTTTTCGTAACTATCGTTCGAAGGAAGTTCATAAATGTACCATTAAGACTAAGTTAATTAATAACCAATTGTTATTAAAAGCAGATAAAATTACATATTTAATTTATTAATTGTCCATATATCGAAGATATCAAATGAAATAAACTTATGATAACATGAATTTTGATTTGCGAGCTAAAAGGACAAGATTGGAAATCTACTGTAACGAAAAAAAAAATAATATTATAATTATGTAATCGCACAACGATATGATATGTTGCAATTTCACTATGATTTATATTTGTACTTATCCGTTACAGTTACATGTGAAAACAGATAAGAAATTAGATTTTCGTTATAATTAACCATTTATTTTTTTTTTTATAATTTTCTTATGCATAAAATACAAACTGTTAAAATAAATTTACAGTTTAAGAGAAAACAACAGTAAGAATAGAAGAAAAGATAATACAAAAGAGTAAGAAACTTATTACAGAAAAACAATGCTTTTCGCAACGGTATTTTTCAATATAAACATCCTAAAGAAAAATGAACGAAGAGTTTAATTTATGGTATGACCATAGACATTGTATTCTTTCTATCGTTGGCTCGACAGAAAGGAATAGAAAAATACAAAGAATTTCAGATACTTTATTGCTTTATGGAGCTTAATTCGCAATTATCTTCGGCCGACGTCCAGGTATGTTTCTGCTTCGAAACCTTGCATCTTTCCGAGGCTGTAAAATAGTGACAGTGTCGATCGTGAGTATCGTGACGATTAGTTCGAGTTAAACAGTTGAAGCGCACAGTGGGCTTTGGACGTTCCTCTTACTTCTGATCGGGTTACGTTTCCGGGGAAAATTTTGATTTTCTACACTAAGCTTTGTTAAGGAATTTTTCGTCAAAATGATGAGTAAGTTTTGTTAAAGTGCTTATGAGGATTATTTTCTTTCACTTTTTGTTATCGGTGCATTTTTAGAGGTGTGTCGAAATATGGCTCGTAGAATTGAATATATTAACCATGGATAAGCGATAAGGAAAGTAATTATATCGGGCGGTGTACATCTATTAAAAAAAAACAAAAAAAAAAACGCTTAAGACAGAAAATTGTGTATTTTCAAAGAATTGAAATTTTTTAATTTGACTGTTTTATGTGAGATCTTGTTTACAAATAATCAATAAATCGATTGATTTGTGTAATTGTACGTAAAATTGTGACCGCAAATTGTGCTTCAAATTGGAGCCCCTGAGTTGAATGTGTACTTACATTATATAGAATATTAATAATATTATATAATTCGTATATCTTGAATTCGAAAGCTTCCAGCTCTTTTTTTTTTTTAAATTACTTTTTGACTTTTTACAGATATTTTTCACTTTTATTCAATCCCACGTTCGCGCGTTTTTATATTATGTGCTGCATAAAAAATGTTTTACGTTATGGTTATCTTTATTGTCGTTACGTAAGATTTGTGGAAGTTAATTTGAATAATAAACGTATATTTTTAAATACATATGTTCGGCATACATTTTGCATGTTTAGGTATTCCATGGCACCTCTGCTAACACATAAGTTTTAATCAATGATGTTTATTCGTTCGTTTTTATTCCAATACACGATCGAATAATAAAATATTATAAAATTAAAAAATGTAACTACAATCTTCTACGTATTTTATTATAGCTTTTCTGCTGTGATTACGTTGTTATCCAATCATTATCAATATTTATCAATATCAGAATCTTGCAAGCTCCCGTACAATTTCACTTTCGTTAGATAAAAGTGTTTAGTCAAGAGGACTATGATATGTTGGCTGATTACAAAGCTATATAATTAAATATTTGATTTAAAAGAAAGCAAACATCGAAAATATATATCAGCTTTTTAAGCTTCGAACTCAACGATAAAATCTTAAATAAAAATAAAATTTCACCTTTGTAACTCGAATTCGACTAAATTTTGTTACTTTATCTACACGTGTATTTAATTAATTCCGCTCTTTGAACTCGCGACAAGTATTTCAAGTTCCAATGACTTTAAAATGACTTTGATACGTCCAGTTTCGTAGTATCTCTCATCCCTTCCTTTCAATTTGTCCTTCTTAAATTTTTTAATTTTTCGATATTTCAATTTTTCTTTCTTTTCGCGAAATGAAATTGAATATTCCATTAAATATTCAACTTAAGAACGAACACGCTTAATTACGCGTGATATTCCAGCAAAAATGTATTTCGTCTCGTGGAAAGTTCAAATCAATTTTGACGCGTACCAACTCCACGGTACTAATAGCTATTTTTAAATGAATTTGTCAGTAACACAAGTACTCTGTATGACGATCTCTTCTGTTTTACAGAAATGTCCACGGAGGAAAGCCTGCGCTTCATCAGGCAATCATTGAAATCGGATGAAATGGATCATCTTGAGGGTATCCATTTCGATAGATTGTACCCTCACGTGTTTGTTACCCTCGGAGCTTCTGTAAGTAGAATTTTTCTTTCTAAATATAGAAATAATAATATGAGTATTAGTTAAAAAAAATTACGATAAAAAAGATAACTAATAAATCCGAGTAATAATATACAGATTTTAAGCTATTTTTAGTTAAGTTATTTACACCAAAAAAGACTAACGGAAAAATTTCATGCTAAATTTAGGGCGATTTAGCGAGGAAGAAGATCTATCCAACGCTATGGTGGCTGTTCAGAGACAATCTTTTACCAAAACCCACCACATTCGTGGGTTACGCGCGCACAAACCTGACTGTGGATCAATTAAGAGAAAAGTGTCATCCATACATGAAAGTGAAACCAGACGAGCAGGAGAAATACGAGGAGTTTTGGAAACTGAATCACTATGTCGCTGGTACGTACGATTCACAGAAAGGATTTGAAGCGCTGAACAATGAACTGATGAAATACGAACAAAACTATCAAATCACTCACAGACTGTTCTACCTGGCCTTGCCTCCGAGCGTTTTTGAAAGCGTAACCGTACATATTAGGAACGTTTGTATGAGTAACAAGTGAGTTGCATATATTTCACAATTATCTTGCGACTTATGCTAAGATCGACGTCATATAAAATATACATGCATTTCTCTTCTTTTAAAGAGGCTGGACCAGAGTGATTATAGAGAAACCATTTGGTCGTGACACAGTTACGTCACAGTATCTATCCGATCACCTAGCGTCGTTATTTAAAGAAGATCAGATTTACCGTATCGACCATTATCTAGGCAAAGAAATGGTTCAAAATCTGATGACTCTGAGATTTGGTAATCGAGTATTTGGTCCAACCTGGAACAGGGATAACATTGCTTCTGTACAAATTACATTTAAAGAACCGTTTGGTACGCAAGGAAGAGGCGGCTACTTCGATGAATTCGGTATCATTAGGGATGTCATGCAGAATCATTTGTTGCAAATCCTATCGTTGGTTGCGATGGAGAAGCCGGTGTCTTGTCATCCAGATGACATCCGAGATGAGAAGGTAAAAGTGCTGAAGTGCATAAAGTCTTTGGAGTTGGAGAATGTTGTGTTAGGTCAATACGTTGGTAATCCTGAATCGACTGATCCTGATGCTCGACTTGGTTATTTGGATGATTCAACTGTACCGGCTGGTTCTAACACTCCCACATTCGCTCTCGCCGTGTTAAGAATTAATAACGAACGATGGGACGGTGTTCCATTTATCCTCAAGTGTGGGAAAGGTAAAATGATATAAGCGTATCGATTTAAAAAATGATTAGTTTTTTAATATATGATCTGTTTTTCTAACATGGTGGTATATTTATGATTAGCGTTAAATGAACGAAAAGCAGAAGTTAGAATACAATATCAGGATGTATCTGGTGATATATTCGATGGAAAAGCGAAGAGGAATGAATTAGTAATTAGAGTACAACCAGGTGAAGCGTTGTATATTAAAATGATGACAAAGTCGCCTGGTATCGCGTTCGACATGGAGGAAACGGAGTTGGACCTTACGTATGGTTACAGGTACAAGGTAGGTTCAAGGATTCCCTATTTATTATGTTTGTGTGTATATAGAAATACTTTAGAGATATTTCTATTAATACACGTGATTATGTAGGGCCTGAAACTCCCGGACGCGTATGAACGATTAATTTTGGACGTATTTTGCGGCTCGCAAATGCATTTTGTACGTAACGATGAACTTTCGGAAGCGTGGAGAATTTTCACGCCTCTGCTTCATCGAATAGAAAATGAAAAGATCAAACCTGTTCCATATAGGTAAGTTAGTCTTTCTGTCAATCAAAAAAGTATTTTTCTTTGTTATTTTTCTAATTAATAACGTATACTCTTCAAATTTAGTTATGGTTCACGAGGACCTAAAGAAGCCGATGAAATGGCAAAGACAAATAACTTCAACTATTACGGTTCTTACAAATGGGCGAGACACTAAGATTTTTGTAACATTAGTACTGTAAAATATATACGTATACTATACAGATCGCAAAAAACTATACCACAAATCATCATCTGTAATCATTCCACATATCGTACATTGAGGTATGTACGGTAATTTCCGAAATTTTATACATACATTGTAACTAATTTATGCATTTAATTTATTAAGAAGTTGAATTTATCTATTTTTTGAAGCAGCCTTTAAGTGTAAAATATATTCTACTAGTTAAAGAGTGTGCAGATATTATCATATGTATTTGAAAGACTTCAAACATATGGTTAATATTTATATCGGAAGTACCTACGAATAAAATGTGATTGTTTCATTTTTAAACATATATCATTCCAGGAAACAATTTATAGTAGATATATAATGTTATATGTATATATTATACATATATTTTTATACAAGAAATTTAGCAATTTGTAGATAACTCTTTAAAACCTTTTCCAACCATTCAAAAATTACAACTTGTATGTAGACCATAATTTTATTTTACTTTTGACGATTTAAACATGACGCCAATCACATGAAATATCCTGTACAGTAAATAAAATAACATAAATTATGTGGTACTTTGCGTTGAAATTGTTTAAATATACATTACAATAAATAAGTAAGAGAAAGTTGAATATTCAGTCTATAATTTATATACTCTACATTTTAAATATTTACCTATCAAATGAAATAATGCTATAAGACGAAAGCACCATAGGAGCGCTTCATACATTTCTGCATTATGAATTTATATACAAGTGATTTTGCTATTCAGCTCTTTCTCTCTCTCTCGTATAAAGAGATCACCTACACGTAACACACAGGTCAAACACTCATTACATTTAATAAGGAACAAAACATATTTAATTTACAAAATTAGCAAATTTTTAAGAAAAAATGCAATTTAAATTAAATTAATACATTATACATGTTAACATTTATATGTTTGTAAATACCATATCATGATGAATAGTATTGCTAGGCAATGACGAGTCACAATGAAATAGAGTACATATAAAAATTATATAAAATACGGGAAGTTCCAACCGGTATACGATTCGCAGTTCGTTACATTATTGGAAATTAACATTTTAATTTACAGAAACTTATATAATATGAATGCGAACGGTATGAACCATATATTTGAATAAACTTACCCTACTTCTTTATGATTATTATATATATTCTCTTACAACTATAATAGTAATAATAAAATATTGCTACAAGTAATGCACATTGAATTAAATACACACAAATAAATGTAAAAAAATTACACATTATCTTGTAAACCATCCTTGAAAAGTCACTAGTCTCTTTCTTAAATGTCCATTACATTTAGGATTATTCACTGATCAATGTATACAAACCAAATTCAGTTTTCAATGCATCGATATGACAATGTCTTTTTTGAACACTTCACAATAGTATATAATTTATAAAAACGTCAAAATTTGATCCAGGTCTATGATTGACGAAAATACAATTTTAATATTATATATGTATATATATTATATTACACTTATTAAAAATTTAAATCTCACACCCTTCAGGATCCAATAATTCGTCCCAATTAATACTTCTTTGAAATACTTCTTGTTGTAACCATAATTCATAATGTTGTTTAAATTCATCGCTTAATTCCATATTCACCCCGAGTACTGATGTAACGGAATTATCAACAGGTTCCATATCTTTATCCTTAGGAATATTAGTGTACCGTAGGTTATTGAATCGATCAACGCAAGAACGTAATACGCACTCGTCTACTTGGAAATCCCAAGGTCGTGCTTCTAGATCTAATTAATAAAAAATAAAATAAATTATTTATATTTTGCTTTTAAATATACAAATTCTATATTAAAATGATGTTAAACATTATCTAGAATACATTACCATTGCCATAAGCCCAATCGTCATTCAAACGATGTCTAACTTTTGCATATATTGCACTGATTGTTTTCATATTAGTTTTCCGCCATTGTCGCCCTAAGTACCTAGTTTGCATTTTTAGTAATTTTAAGACATATAATTGCATCATTGCGTGTCTTACTTTTAATGTACGTTTTAATATGGGTGCTGATTTAAAAACGACTAACATCTATAAAGATAGATAAAATTAAAACAGTTATAGTAAATAAACAAGTATAACAATTAAAAATAATACACACCATAATTCTACTATGTTTCCATTTTGTAAGTTTATTAAGAATACGTAATAAATTAATGCACGAAAAAACGTTTCTCCATGAATATGGTAGATTATCCCCAGTTTCGAGATTATCTAGGGACACATCTGGTTGTTCTCCAATAACACACATAGGAAAATCCAAGATGGGAATACTGTAAAGAAAAGCGCACTTATTAAGTACACTTCCATTAATGATTGATTTGCTTTTATAAATGGAACTTACACATTTTTAGCCTCTATATAAGCTAGAATATTCTGATTTAAAAATTTTAAAACAAGTGGTATGCAATTAGCAAATACTAAATGTTGTGACATGAATTCAAACTGATATATGTGATTTAGTTTAAAATGTTTTAACAGAAGAAGCAGTATTGCAGATACTGCTTTAACAATGATTTCTTTATGTCTGCTTACATCAATACCGAGTTTCATCGACTGAAAAACAGTCATGCTGCAAGAAATAAAGTCATTTTATTTATACATTAAAAAATCTTTAAAGTATACATTTTCCACATAGATTTATAAACTTACGGCATTTGTCCTGGCAAGACATCAGCCATAATATTGGTACTATCTGTCTTAGCTTTACTGGTGGGTGCAGCAGCCAATAAAATCTTTAATAGTGCAATCATATATTGTGGTACAAATGGTAATATAGCATGATATACAATTTCTGTTGGTGTCTGACGAATTGGAAACCTTGGAGTGCTTATAGGATTTCTAAGCATTTGTTCCTCTTTTTGGATTTGTATTTCAGCTAAGGATGTATACATATGCTAAAAATATAGAGATATACATTTTATTTCTTCAAATTTACAAGTACAGAATGTATGATAATTTAACTTACTCTTTTAAGTGTATTAACACCTTCAAGTATTGGTTGTGGTAAACCTGCCAAACTTTGTCTGTCTCCTTCTAAGTTGTAACCAACAAATTTTAATCTTGATGCTTCAAGAAATGTGTCAACATCTTTTTGTCTCACCTTTGGTGTCCACGGTAAACCTATGAAAGATATATTACTTTCAATAAATAATGTCATATTTTTAAGGAAATATCTCTTTCATTCTTTCACTTCTTGAAACTGAAATGTATTTATAAAAATATTACTTTTTCCTTTAGTAAGTTGTGGGGTGTCAGGTCTTATTGGAGGCTGATTGTTCTCATTTTGACAGTAAGTTCGTAACTGAGTCAAAACAGTTTGGTTCATAAATACATTAGCTTCTCCTTCACCTTCATTGTTTGTAGTATTGTTCCCCACTTCTGCACCTTCATATTCCATTCCCAAGCCTGGTTCATCTAATGAACTTTGTTTCATTAGAAACTGAAAACATGAATTGTCAAATAATAATTTATTAAATAGAAATTTTTAATAATATTTTACACAAAAATATAGCATACTCGTCGATAAGATCTATGATTCTTTTTTTGATTTTGTGTTTCAATCAAATCTGCTGCACTGACAGGAGGAGAACTAGGTCTCATAGTCTTTGCAACTTCTAAAGTATCTTCTTGTTGTGTATCAAGGCCAACTTCTTCGCGATACTGTTTTTTTAACTCCCTTAGTGTATCAATACCACCCAATGATACCAAGATCAATTTCCACAGCAATAAAAGAACCTTTTTCATTGGAAAATGTGGAGCTGCTCCACTACAGAAGTATGTCACCATGCCAAGAAGTTTAACTATAAGCAACTCTTCGCCATATGGATTTATTAAATCTTCTTTGAAAGATTCAACATTATTCTTATAAATACTATGTTCTAAATTTTTCATTTCTTCCCTCATCACCTCTGTTATAATATATAAAACAGACAAAATTACTCTTAAATCAGTGGAATCATCAAGACTAACAGATATTTTCCTCATTGCAGATGCAGTTCTCCTACTATTCCTAAGAAGAAGAATACAAAAATGTGAGTTATAAAAAATTACTGATACATAAAACTCTCTTATGAGAAAGAAGCAACATACGTAATTTCAATATTAAGAAGTTCAACAAATGCTGGGAAAATTCCAGCCTCATATAATAACATAACATTTGTTCTGGTCCATTCTCGTTGCTCTTCATCAGACTGCACTTCAGCCCAACAACCTTGAGCTAAATACAAGATGCACCTCGCTGCCTTCATTCTTAATTGTTTGTTAGAAACCTCTAACTGATCTAGTAATTTGTAAATTACAGATTTCTGTTGTGCCTCTGATAAATTTTGCCACCATGGCCTTAATTTATATAATTCCATTTGCTCTTCAAATGCCTAGGGATGAACACATCCGTGTTGTGTTAGTATTTCCTAGAGTATTATGAGGACGTCTATACTCACTGTGAGGTTAACATGTAATTCAGACTGTTCTGAATAGCTGTACAATTCAGCAATTTCATTGGCATGCTTATCCGCATCGTCATAAACAAAGTCCAAATCCGTAGATTTAGATGTTTCCTAAACATAAAAATAAAAAAAAAAGGACATGCCAAAATGTTACTATTTAAATGTTAGCATTCTTTTTACTTCAATAAAATATCAATTATAAGTATTGTATGTACCATTTTATGTATATTAATTTCAACGATTATTATTCAGAAAAGGATATGAGACGTTATTCACGTATCGTTTGATTTGATAAACAGATTGTGATAATCCAGGCATTAAGTAGTATAGGCTTCTGTCAAAAAGGTTAGAGACAACTTGATCCACGCCGATAATTGTTACTTATTTTTGGCAGGATTTTCGCACTTAGTTGACAAAGCATTTACTCACTTCGGTACTCATAATTCGTTGCTGTAGAACTATTCGGGGAAGATCACGCTTCCCATTTCCATTCGCATCCATCGCTACGTCACGCATTTTCTAATAGTGATTAGAGATGCAGTATGTAATGCATCTCAGACTTAATTTATGAATCGATATTTTTTCTCGACTACTCGAATCATTCGTAAATA